AGAGCCTGTTTGATTCTCATTAATTGAATGAGTTTTGAATAGTATTTTTAGGAGAACAAGGGGTCAAGAAGTAAGGAAAACATTTTGAAATTTTATTGTTGAAGCTATGGTAAAAAATAATCCAAATAAATTAATGGGTGTCATACTTACCTGACCATAAAGAAGTAAGAAAATATATTGGTTCTGAACACCATTTCGAGCCTCGGTTCGTCGATCTCTTCAACTGCGCTTGCCTTGTATTGCTCAGCAGCATTATTAACAAGAATATCTACTCTTCCATAGTTATTCACTACCTCTTCAACAACTCTTTTGCAATTCTCATCATACCCTAAATCTGCCGGTATCGCCATCGGTTCTTTTGCATCAGAATGTTTAGCTTTCATCAACATTCCAAGGGTATCCTCTGCATCTTTGTCTTCATGACCCTTCACGTATGTAAAAGCCACCGTTGCACCCTCCAACGCGAAGCAATGGCACACGGCTCGCCCAATGCCCGAATCACCTCCAGTCACTACGGCCACTTTACCCTGCACGGCACACACAATATTGATTAAAAAATGACAAATTTTTTTTATAAAAAATGAGAAGTTTTCTATGTAAATACTCTAAGCTTGTTGGCAGGTTTGTATTCCAGGCTAGCAAACTGTGGAGTTGGGTCCATTAAATGCTCTTTTCCAGGCTGAGTTTCTTGTTTCTGTGGTGGGAATTTCTGATCATTAGACGCCATTGATCTCACAAAGACTACTACTCTTCTCTTAGAATTATGGGTTACTGTAAAATTCGAAGAAAACTGGGTTTGGTGTGGAGGAAAATGAGATCTGGCAGTGGATGCTAACACATTGAAACAAGAGAGAAACTGAGTGAACATGTAAAATGAATATGGAAAGAGGGGATAGATATAGTTGGTGTTCCAGGATACAGCGGTGAATGCAGGCAAGAACGTGGCAAGAGGCTGAGTCTGCGTGTTACCTAAGGGCGCATGCCAATGGACACGTCTGTATAAACGGACGTCATGACTCGGAAAATTGGATTTGGATGAACCATATTGCGTGCTAAACCTTCTAATCTTCAAATTCTTTTTGTTGGCTAATTTTTTAAAAAATTATTCTTCTCTATATTCATATCGAATTCATTTTTAAAAAAATTATTTTCGCAATCCATCGTCAAAGTGTAAAACATGAATGCATGTAAGAACGTATAAGAGAAGTTGAAAAAAATTGGTTGAGTGGCTAATATTTGTTATTCCGGTATTCATCCACTAACATTTAGTCCAACAAAAGAGTCGGTTTGTTAGCTACGGGCACATGGGGTGACACCTCTGTGTAAACGAACATCATGGTATGATCGGGAATTGGATTTGGATGAAGCAATGCAGTACGATAGGATGTTCTAAACCTTCTAATCTTCGAATGCCTTTTGTTAAGTATTTTTAGTCACGGTTTGATATATATTCTTTGAAACTCATTTTTTTCAACGTTCATGTCCTGTTCTTTCTTAAATTAATTTTTTCTCAAATGGTGTCGTGTCTGTATACTAATTTACAGTTCAACTTGCGGTGAGAAGTGAGAAAATTGTTTGGTCCTTCGAGATGCAGTGCTAAGATTTGATTAAACTAATAGCACTTTTAACGTTGGCGTTCACGAGTCTGCATGTGTGCCATAAAAGATACAATTGTAAAAACCTAGCTAATCACTTCTCCATATACAGAAAATTTCTGGTTACTTCCTTCTATTTTTGTTCATTTGAACCTGTTTGAATTGCATTCTTTCAAAAAAAAAAAATATTCTTAAATGTGATTTGGCATCATTTCAACCACACAGTCTCCAACAAAATAATATTACACGCAAATCTAAAATTTTTTCTCATTTTTTAACCACACATTTTTCATCAATCTACTATTTCAAAATACATTCTTTCAAAATAATGTGGCTCAAACATACACTCAAGATTTCATCACTTCACATCACACAGACACTCTTCTAGATATTGTTCAGCATTGCCAATGAGAATTGGGAAAAAAAAATCGATGTGAGATCAAAATAAGAAGGAAAAAAAAAA